TCATTTGCACTTTAAGGGACGAACCATTAGATATTTGATAGGGGGGGGGGGGTGCGTAAATCCCCCCAAAAAATATCGAGCAAGCACTTAAACCTCAAGAAAAATTGATGCAACCTCTTCTGCTAGGAGAAAAATATGTAACTGTAAGCAAAAAAAAAAAAACGTGCAAGGGTTAAGCCAAAAAAATAAATATCATGCAACCGAAATTCCTGCAACCCCCACATCAATTATCTAATGGCCCATCCCTAAGGTGAGTTACCATATAGTAAACATATCACACTGGTACAATATACTAATTAATTCCTCTAATATTTGTGCAGACGAAAGGATATATCGCTTACGGGCGAGTTTTTGATTCAAGGTTAATAGTCGGTAAAGAAAGTAGGCGCCAATAGTCTTTGTAAACTATCCTACAACAAGAAATGCCGCCTGGGTGGAGCTCGGACTTTTTTACGAGAAAAATTTGCTTGAAGAAACATTCACATATTTAATTACTATCCAAGCAGCAAAATCCGATTTCATTCATTTAGATCTTGGGTTCCAATAAATACTTTCACTTAATTCCCCTCAGACCTGTTGAAATGCTCCGCGATACTATACTGGATGGTCGTACGTATACGAATGCATTGTTTGGCATACGTGGAAACAAACATGCAGTACATTCATGAATTACTACTGCCTTTGACTTTTAGTTTTCGAGTTGTTTGAGGACAAAAATTTCTCTTTGGGAAGCACGGGTGGCGTAGCGGTGTGAGCGCTCGCCTCTCGTCAATGCGACCCGAGTTCGAGTCCCGCCGGGTTCGGTGTTGTATATGAGTAGAGTTGTTTGTTGGTTCTCTCATGTGCTTCGAGGGTTTTCCGGGTTCTCCGGTTTTCCTCCCTCCGCAAAAATCAACTCCTAAATTCCAATTTGATCACGGGAATGAGGGCCACAGATTTGTTAGCCACTGGCTATAAAGTGCTACCCTCGTGAGAGAAAAAAAGGACTTACCGAGTAACCTAGCCTCCCCTTTACATTGGTCCCGCGAAACGTATAATTTTTAAACCCGCCAGTATCAGGTACCAGGGAAGGAGGATTGATATTCGGGATAAAAGTTATAAAAAAAGGCTGTTACCCAGGTTATATAACTTTTTGCATGGCCTTGCAAATTGTCCTCTATGTATAACGCATCGGCACTAGAGAAAAACATTTGCGCATGCGTGCCTTTCAGGACGTTTTCTAAGAATTTAGAAGAGTTTGAGTGAGGAAATAAATGAATGTACCTGAAATATATTGGATGGAGGTATAAGAATGTACCCGAGATGGATTGGATGAAGTCGTAGTGAATAAGAACGTACCTGAAATCAGTATTGGATGAAGGCGTAGGAATGAAAATATACACGATATGGATTGGATGAAGGCGTATGTAGAACTTAGAATAGACCTGAAGCTTACATGAGAAACTGAATACTGCGTCTGAGGATAAGAATTAGCGAATACCTATATCCCTTAAAACTTTTTTTAAAAAACTTCAGCAGTTTATAAAAAACAGGTTTTAAAAAAGTTGTAAATTGTTAGGAAAAAGGAAATACTAGTGGCGACCTATCACACCCTAATATCACACTGCGAGAATCATGAGGCTAGGCACGATTCATTAGCCATAATGTTTCTTGTTCCAGTAGGTGACTAGGCCATTTCCGATCCTTAGGTGGCTGGTACTGTTAACCAATTCATCCTAATTAGATTATGAAGTAAACAAATCGAGGATGTTGCAGTGGTCAGTAACAAGACAAGCTGAAACGCACAAGCTATCCCAGAAAAAACACAAATGATGAAAAGGTAAATTATACACCGTGAAAAGATGAAAAAACTTACTGACGTTTCGGACGCTAGTCCTTCGTCGGAGTAAAAGAGAAAGAAGTGGT